GTCTGTGAAAATAAACCTGATTATCTGGAATGGTAGATATCATATTCCAGACGCCTCGCTTTCGCCGAATTTCGCCTCTGACATAATGATTTTATGTTTTGTGGACATCGATCGTCAGACGGCGATGCCTTGATTTTCGTTTGCCGTGACAATCCAGTCTCTACCTCGTTTATGTGGTTATTGCCGAGGGCATCAAGGCCCGTCCAGAGACGTCACGCGAAGACCCACATAGTTATGTCGCTGTCAGCTTCGCGTCTACTCGCTCCTAACCCTCACACGCCATATCAGCCGTTCGGCCTCGAATAGCTATGGCTTCCTTATCAGTGTCTGTTGGCCTTGTCCGTGTTGTAAAGGTGTTCGGCTCAACGCTAGTCTCCAATACAACATCGGATTTTTACACTTCTTTCTGCACAGCGCGAGTTTAGGCGTGTGTCTGGTTTGTATTGCACTACATAGACGTGCAACGGTGGATGCCCTTCTTATTCGATGATCATAACCATCCACTTTCCTGCATAAGCTAATGAAGCTTTGGAGTCAGAGTGTTCGGAACTGAGTTTGAAGATACCAACAATTGATTAAATTAAAAGCAGCGTCATACAAATGACGCAATGTGCATCCAATGACCGATATAAGTTTACAGTCCATCTCTGAGCCTCCAGAATGTATACCATAAACCTTTCCCGAATTCCTGGCAGCACTGGCGGCCCACTCTATCCATAACTAGCCCGCCGTTCCTTTGACCTATCCAACCGGCGGTCAATTACTTCAACCGGCGGCCTATTTCGGAAATGGCTCAGCGTCTGCCCGTCGGCACCCATCTCGTTTGGCCTCGGTGAGGTTTGCGTTCCCGTCGCTGCAAAACGGAGCAGAGACGCAGTTCAGACTGTGACTGCCTTCCAAACTAACGGTGGATGCCTTTGGCCTTTTGGGGTTTTTAGTCTTTGATCGTGATCGATGACTTTGATCCTCCTTTTGATGTCTAATGAGTGGTTTTATTGCTTAGTTTATTTATTTTCATTTATTTTCGGTGGAGCTCTGCATTCAGAATGCCAGCTTCCAATATTTCTTTGAAGAAGTTGAATTTTCCAAATGGCAGCTAACCACATGTTATAGGCGTAGTGTTGTTACAATCGAATGCTAGTGAAGATAAGTTTCACAACAATGATCCATACACTTCACCTACCGGTTCATTGTACTTATCGGTGCTACAACTCGTGCGTATTTGATCATTACTGATTTGCTATCCCTACCCTCGCCGACCGCATTGTAAACAAACGTAGATATAAGATAACCAATTATTGTTCTTTAGCCAGGGGATTCCCGTCACAGGACGCCAGGTATAACGATTGTATCGCTAGCCTTGAGCGTTAATCAAAGGCACCGGTTTCGGTCGCAGACGATATTTGCCGTAGGTTTTCTGCTAGGATGTGAGCGACCTTTTGCACGTGTGACTTATCGAATGAGAAGGACGAAATTGGTCGTTTTAGCCGGCATACAATATCTTGAATTGTAGTGATAATGGGATCTGAAGCTCTGGCCAGCCCGTTTATATATGTACATACGGCACGGGCAAATGTCCAGATTTGTCGCACAGTATGCTTGGCAGGAGGGGCCAATACGGTGCCGCTGTACAATGCTACACAAAATAGTTCTTTTTGTATTTCCTCGGTATCGAAGTTGATATGAACAGGGAAATGATTAAAGATAGTCAAATCTGGAATTTTGAAAATGTGGTATCTTCAAAAGGGAAAAAAGAGATGCATCGTGAAACTCATAAATTAGTGCCTATGAAAATGGTGGCTACAAATGTGTCAAGATGGATCTTTGTTCACCATTCAACAGCTTAAGCCCGGTTCTGACTGCCGAATTCGATCGGAGCGGATGGTAAGCGTATGGTGATCGTATGGTGAGCGTGGCTGGCGGAAAAAGATGAAAATCGCTAGGCCCGATACGATCTGGCAACTGGTAGATCGTATCGTGCGGATCGTGCGTATTTGGTGCGTATCGTGTGGGAGTCTGCGTCCGCCATTATTGCCGGCGGCGATAGATAAGAGCGAAATAAATACTTTTCACGCTTGAAGAGACGTTAGATGTAGTTTAAAGTATCTCTCTAATTCAGTAATTAAGGTTGAATAGTCGTGTCTGACTTTTCCGTGAAGTTAATCAACATTTCGGCTTGATTGGAGCAGCATGGCGGCGGAAACCATTCTCGGCCGTGGAAGGTACGCGATTTTGAAATCGCGTGAAAAAAATAGAAAATCATGTCAACTTGTCCTGAAAAGTAATCAACAACATAAAAGTGAGTATTGTGAATGTTGTGCATTGGTTTTCTTGAAAATCGGTTCGTTGGAACTGACAGAAATTCATTGGTTAGATATCTATGCACCACCTCGGCGTCGCCGGTCACCACGAGGCTGGCCGGGTGGGGGCTGGGCAGAGCGCTGCGTGTGTATAGGCTGGCGCACAGATGACGTCATCTGAGGGAAGCGCGTTGATTGGCCGCCTTGAACGGGACGAGATCTATAAAGAGGAAAATTAATACTTGTCAGACTTAAAAAGATGTTAAATGTAGTTTAAACATTTCTCTAATTTAATTATCAAGCTGAAATTATCGGGTATGGCCTTTTCGTGCAGTAAAATTAATACTTTGATGTGACTGACGCACCTGAACGAAACAATGATTTTTCGTATGGTATCTTCTAAGTGGAAGTACCTACTTTGATTCATGGCGACTATAAACTTTGATTATGTCAATCAAGCCAATTTATTTAAAGTATGCTACTGATAAGATAAGTTATATCAAATATGTTAGCGCAATCCTTCCACAAGACAGCAGCAAGAAGAGCAGCAGCGCAGCGAGCTCCCCACACGATGTCAACTGTACGATACGATCAAGACAAAAGATAAACTCAATCCATCTTTCGATGGAACGCACTACGACGTACGATCTGCCGCTTCCGAGCGTCGCGCACAGTCACGTTTTTCCCGGTTCTCACTGCACACATACGATTATCATCGCGGCGATCGGGAAACGGGCGTGCCGATCCCCATCCCATCACCATACGATCACGATACGATCACCATACGATCCACCAAACGATCGAAAAACGGCAGTCAGAACCGGGCTTTAGAATCTGGGTTTCTGCGATTCATTTCACACGGTAGCTAAAAATACCACTGTCAGCTTCGGCTAAGAGAAATGTTTTCCTTGGGAGGCAATTTCCGCACAGTCTGGGAAACGTCACTGTCACCCTCTGGGTAAATCGAGCTCGTTCGGCCAAATTAGAAGTAGCTTATGCGGCTGCTGCGAATCTACAAACTCAACTTTGACTTTGCAATAAGTTTAAAGTTCGTCGCTAATTTAATTTGAATTGCTTTCAAACCATTGCATGTAACTGCATCATTAAGTTTCATCATGTTGTTATTATTGTATGTATTCTTAGCAAAGTCATCCCAAATGGGATTGCAAAAGTAGGTAGGTACCTTACCTTTTTACGCACTCAACGATAAAGTTGTGATGCTTCTACTTAAATTTCTCTTAAATTCCAGCACCATCCTAAGGTGCTGAAACACAAAACAATTTGGTGCTGATACACAAAACAATTTTTTTATATTTTTTCGGATAAATTTTAAAGTGTAGTTTCCTTAGGATTTTCCCATATTTCACAGTGTACTAACTTAGCGTCCGTGCAACAGGGACAGTCGCGGGCACTGAGTCTCCCATTCCGATCAAAAGTGGAATTCGATTTGACCGTCTCGGATTAGGCGTAGGGTGCGGCTGATGAACCGCTGAGCCCCTGCCGCTGCCGGCGCGGGCCAGGCCGTTCATCCTTCACCGGCGCTCGACCTTCCGTTGCCTTTCACTGGGGACTACTGTCTTCCGCAATCCCATCTGGGATGGCTTCCGTGAAGTAATGGGGACCGGCGACCGAGCGCCGGCGGCACGAACCGCGTCCGCGTGTGCGGAAACGGCACACCGACCGCGGAATGAAGCGGGGGCTCAGTGTTTTGCGATGTGTTCGTTCTTATTTTTAAGTTAGAAATACCTTTCTCTAAATTATGCGAGATGGGTGTTGCAGCGCAGGACAGTTGATCAGATTCAGAAGTTCAAATAATCTGAGCCGCTAGAGAACTTGGTACACTCGCCACGCAGGATATCAGCTAAGGCAAACGTCTAACCTGGAGCTTGATGTGACCCTGGGTCAGATATACCTATGTCTACCTATATGCAATTTGACATGACGTTATCAGTGACATGATTGAACCACAACGGAAAATGTTAGGCTAGCCTTACTTTTCATTAAGAAAAGAATATCCTACTCTTGGTCCCTTGACTGATAATCGATTTATTCCACGCTCCAACCCCGCCGGCCTGGCAACTGGTGTTAGCACCTCTCGCCCGCGGCCCGTCACCCAGGCCGGGCTGGCGTGTTTCCGCGTCTCGCAAAGCCTTCCGATGACACCGGGCGGCGTCTATTCCTGGCGAGAAATGGGCCGATTCGGCGCGCTCAGTTCCGGATAGTCGCCGCGGTGCCGCCGGTTTACTGGGCTGTCCCGCCGAGTGGCTGAGTTAGGGCACTCCCCACTGAGGAGTGTTGGAGTTTGTGTATATCTGAATGGATGTCGGCCGGCTGCTTCGCTGTGAGGCTGATTGGTTTATGCAGCGTTGAGGAATGATAGCGTTTTGTGCTATGGGGTGCTATGAAAACATTCGAACAGAGCTTATTGCTGAGAATAGCAGGTGCACCCCTAGTTTCTGGACATAATTCGTGCCGCCATAACTTGGGTGTTTGAATCCATATGCTGCAACCATAGCTAACATGGTTGACAAAAGTGTATGAGGTCTATACATTTCTAGGCGGTCTGTAACCCGCGTGATCTGAGTGATCATGAACTTGCTCGGGGTCTCCGGGTCTCCACTTCACAGTCTGATCACGCATACGCTCTTGCGCGTCCTCCGTGGCGACATCACGTAACACGTTTTCCCTCCTCTTCCCCAGTCGTTGGAGAGGATGGAGCTGAAGCTGAAGACGAGCGATATCATCTGGCCGGGCGGCAGCAACGTCAAGCCGGACGGCGTCAAGATCCCGACGCACCTCAAGGTGCTGACTCTGCAGGAGCAGCCGTTCGTGTACAGCCGTCGTTTGGAGCGCGGCCAGAAGTGTGACGACTCTGAGACGCGCTGTCCGTGGCACAACACCACAGGCGGTGAGTACGAGGACGTGGATGTGGTGTCCGCCTTCAGGCTGCCGCGCTAGGCTGCCGTTATGGTGCATGGTAGGAGGATGGGGATGTGACGCCCTTCTTCGGGCTGCGGCAGTATGTTGTCGGTGTAGGCTGAAAAATGCTCCGGAGTGCATGGGTAGATGGTATGGGATGCAAGAAGTGCGTTATGTGTGAAGACTTCTTGTTGCTCAGGTGGCTAAAAGTGTTGATACAAGAGGGAAGGGAGAGCCAAATGAAGAGAAAGGGAGGGGGCTGGCAGAAAGTGAGGAAAGAGAACCAAACACTTACGGAGAGGTAGATATAAATGGCGCCGAATTCGGTGATTTAATGCTGAAGGTGACTGCATGATTTCACTCACTTAGCTACTTAAATGATCTAATTTGTTCTAAAGCCAACACCGAAAGGCATTCATTTAGGCTTTAACGCTTTATTCAAAGACTGAACTAAGTTCCATGACGAGGCTAAAAGTTGTCAGTGTTTGAATTGGATGCCAGGGCCCCGCGGCGTATATTATCTGAATGGCTTCGGTCGGAAGTTTTACCTACACCGACCAGCCGCCCCCGCTCTTGTTCACATATCAACGTTCCCGAATGAGCAATTCTTTATTACGACACATCAATCTCTTAGTGACAGACTAACTGCTGAACCAAAATTGGATGACCATACTGTTAAAACTCACAAACCATGCAACGACTCAGCAGCTTCATAAGCTTTTAAATCTCCTTTCTCCTCTCCTTCTCTCTCTCTCTCTCTCTCTCTCTCTCTCTCTCTCTCTCTCTCTCTCTCTCTCTCTCTCTCTCTCTCTCTCTCTCTCTCTCTCTCTCTCTCTCTCTCTCTCTCTCTCTCTCTCTCTCTCTCTCTCTCTCTCTCTCTCTCTCTCTCTCTCTCTCTCTCTCTCTCTCTCTCTCTCTCTCTCTCTCTCTCTCTCTCTCTCTCTCTCTCTCTCTCTCTCTCTCTCTCTCTCTCTCTCTCTCTCTCTCTCTCTCTCTCTCTCTCTCTCTCTCTCTCCTACACACCCACGCTGACAACCGGGACGACCTCGTCACTCGCTCGGGTCCGTTCCAGCTGAGCTTTTCTCACATCTCCATCATTGATCTCATTACCGCCGTCGTCCCCCACTTGTGCGCCATCTGAGCAGCTCCCAAAGTGCGTCTCGCTCTCAGCTTCCGCCCCGTTGCCCAACGCAGGCGTGACCCGATATACTGCAGCTGGCACCCTCGCCCCTCTCTTCTCTCCTATCCCTCCTCCCTCCCACCCCCCGCCCCGGCTCGCCCGCCCGCCGTACTGCTGTCAGTCTTCGTATCACACCCTGCGCCGGTGTTAGCGGAGGTTCGGTCAGTGTGCATGCTTCTGCTGTCCATATCTTGGGCGGTGCCAGAACGTCAGACCGGTCAGCCAATCCGATAGGGTGCCTATCGTTTCCCGGAATTGGGGCCGATCGAAAAACGGGGGCTGGCTGGCCAGCGGCATAAAAAGAGGCAAACAATTCCGAGTAAATGTGCCGACGTCGCATTCGCATTTGTTTTTGGGTGGTCGTTATTGCAGAGGAATTGGGTGGATGCTGAGTGAACTGTTCATTAAAAGATCACACAGACAATAAGATCAGCACTGAGCTTCGTTTGTTCGGGCGGGACTATTCTTGATAAATTTGGGGATCTTCTTGCCAGCTGTTGCGCGGATCTTTCATCTTTGTACTCAGGCTAGAGCTTTATTCATAACGATGAACGTCTTTGTGCTATTTTTAGCATCCTCAGCATTCCTCATATCTCACACGAAATCCACTGCACGTTCCCGCTTCCTATCTAAACCAGACAGATCGGAGCGGACGCAGAATGATATTAGAAAAGTATGTGTGGTGACAGCTGCCGTTGTTTTTCTTTGTCGCTATATTGCGCTCAATACGATTTGTAGGTCTGTGTAGTAAAGAAGAGCTCGAGGTGGTTAAAAGCCGTCTGTCGACGGTTTTTGTAGAGTGTTACCGGGCTCTATATAGACTAGACTACCACAGCTGTAATCCATATGATAAAACGGCGAAGGAGGCTGCAACCTTTAAGGTCTCTTCACTCTCAACGCAACTCTGTGCTCGATATGCATGTTTAGAAATGCTTCATTGCTGAGGTATTCACACGATTACAACACTATTTATTCATTATTCAATACTATTTTTTAATGGTGAGGACTGTCGCCTTGCGCCTACACACCTTACATTTCCGCATGTTTGCCGACAGAAGATGTCGAATTCTGCTGCTGGGGCTACTGCATAGACCTGCTGAACAAGCTGTCGGAGCGTGTCAACTTCACGTTCGACCTGTTCCTCTCTCCTGACGGCGAGTTCGGCGACTACGTCTCCAGGAATGTGTCAGGTGAGGCGTAGTCGCAATGGTTTGGCTCTATATAGTCCGTGTGTGTGTGAATATGTCAGAGGCGGATGGTAAGACCAGACGTATGTAAGTGCATGGGCCTGGGACTCGTGGGACTTCGTGGGGATGGAACTGCTTGACAGTCAGCTAAAGTTTCTCAGTTTTCAAGGTTCTCTCAACTCAAGGCTCAAGGTTTAAAGTAGAGTTCTGCCCATTTTACAGCTGTGGTAGCTGTAAAATGGGTGCAAAGTCTGGCTTTACATTATGCTCAAACATATCATTGCTCGCCTACAACTGCTGCCCGTTTGTTTAGTTTCCCAGCTCCCTGAAGGCTGTTTCAAACTTGGTTCCTTTTCCTTTTGGTGTGAATGGTCGCTAAAAATCTCTGAAAACATTATAGTTAGATGAAGTTAAGTAAAACATCAATCGCCTCATACCATGAATACAATTTAATCTTTCAGAACCGTTTCATAAATATGTAAAATTTCCTCAAAAGCTCGAGGTTATTTAGGTATGCCATTTTGCGTTGTTTCTCACCCGGAGGCGTTAGCAGCCTGTCCTTATAGGCGCTGCACGGTGTCTGCCTGCCCTGTTTATGTTGTCATATAGCGCGAGATGACTGCACTGAATCCAGACAACGGGGCGACTATTGCGCCCGCGCCCTGTTAACACCATGCCCAGTTGCTGGCCATAACAAGCACCTGGGCCCAGTTTCACCAAGTGCGGTAAACTCAATTTGGGGTAAAATACCAAACTACCCCACTCCATAACTACAAAAATACTACCCCGAAATTAGTTAAACTAGCTTGGTGAGGTTTGGCACTTGGCCCAATCTCACCAAGTTATGTAAACTTAATTTGTGGACAGTATTTTTGTAGTTACGGAGTGGGGTAGTTTGGTATTTTACCCCAAATTGAGTTTACCGCACTTGGTGAGATTGGGCCCAGGACGTGCGAAATGGGAGCCATGCAGACGTCATACATCCGTTTTATGTCCTTTATTTGGACCGTATATATTCACTCGTTTTTAGGCTACTCATGTTAGAAGTTGGACGACAATGCAGCAAATTCAATGTTACTTAGCTGTTATTTTATGAATGACTTCAAATCCCTGTAATGCTATAGGTATGATATGTTCTATATGATGAACTATATGATTTGTTCAGTTTCGCCTCCTGTTCTTCGCTTATGACATCCATATTTTTTGCTCTTATTGTTTTCCCTTCCTAATATCTTCGTTTTTTAAGTTTTGATAGCATACATATTTGTTAACCCTCTGTTCTTCGTAAACACCGACCATCGCGATCATGGCTGCTATGGAACAGCAACAGCATGAATGTCTACGGTACTTTTGGGGAATCCAGTGAACTTCCCCGTCCTCCATAAACATGTTTGACGGATTTATACTGGCCGGATGTGTCTGACCCGTCGGTTGGTCACAAATCGGTGTTTTATGGCGGTGCAAGCTGCAGCCTCTGTGATGTGTGCTGCTCCGCTTTAATAGTGACATATATAGCGGCCTTGGGCCCTGGTGAGAGCCATTAAGTCCTTTGAACTCCAATGCGATTCAGCGACTTATGCTGGGAAGGTTATCTTACAGCCACCCATCAGCCGATTATTGCACCCGCGCGCAGTCTCTTCCATTGAAGTTCGGCTGGTCCGAGCGAGCGATCGCGTTCGTCGGACTGACTTCATTCAATTTCAACTCTGCCGAGTGCTCTTGAGCTCGGCACACCTGAACGCTTAATGACTGGAGCTGAGGGCTATCGTGTTTTAAACGATTCCCGAAAGCCAAGTAGTATACTGCGTTTTATTCTCGTGTGTTCTAGCAGTTTACCCTCAAATCGTTCGCAGAACTGGGTGATTATGTGCTATTCAAATCAGTCTATTCATCCTGTCAGCGGGGATTAACACCAGAAACTATAGACTGTAAATGGAGCGTGTTTTGAATTCGTCTCCATAGCTGAAGCAAACAGGTCGGTTCTCTGTGTGGCGACTGTCAGCTAATGGCGTACAAAACACTGTCACAGCTGTGGCTGCTTCAAACAGGCGTAAAACACGCAAAGGAGGAGACGCACCATAAGAACATCATTGTGGCATGCTCCAACGATACCAAAGCACCCAGAACAAAGGCAAACACGACCGTAGGGCACAGCTGCCGCGCACAGACCAGTCCACATATTGTCCGGGGCGCGACTAAGCGCGGTCCCACATTGTCTCTTTGTTTCCGTGGCACACCAGCGTCTCGAGCTGTGATGGTCGCCGTGTCGGAGGCTCTCGGACGGCCGCCAGTGCCGGATACGGCCTCATTGACGGTGTTTGAGACTGAGCTGTGACCGGACTACGAGTCACCGAACGGCCGGCGTGCGATGACCACGGCCGCGCTATCACGTACCGCTGGGCGCCGAGCCGAGATTCGAGCGTCGTTCATCGCCGCGCCGCGGCGCCGGACGCCATTTGTAGGCCGCTGGACGCCCGGCCCGGCGGAGTGGATCCCGTCTGCAAATTATCAGCGCAGGGAGGATGGCCTCCTTCACCGGGAACCCGTCCCGACAGGCTTTTGCAGCGCTACGGTGGAGAGATGCTTGGCGAGGCTCCTGAAGAGACGTGTTTAGCCAGGCGGCAGCGGTCGATGGAAAAGTAGCAACGCACGCATGATGTGAGCTAAATGTGGATGGGTTGGATCAGATGAACCGTGTCGTCGTCTACGCCAGCAGTAGCAGAGGCTGCGACAGGATGGATTGTACAATACACATGCCGGTATATAGCTGTTGAATCAGCTCAACCAATGCGTTTTACAATTGATGCGACATTTTCCGCACCCTAGTGTGAAACTCACCGGTGCAACTACTGAAAATACCTCAACTACTATTCAGCATGCCCAATAAATTAGCCGGTCACAAGCCTGCCGTTTCTTTGACCTTTCTGTATGGCAATTTATGAGCGCTGCGCCGTCAGCGTTTCTCATTTCGGACATCGGCAGTGCCATGGCAGCGCTTCGGGTCCGGGGTCGGCGCGGGGGCCGGCCGGTCGATTTTTCTCGCCGGCCGGCTCGGGCAGCGGTGGCGGCGGCGGCGGCGAGGTGTCGGCCCCCGGCGACCATCAAAGCGGCGGCCGGCGGCACTTGAAATGGACCGGACGTCCGACTGGCTAATGGAATGTTTCCGAGCGGCGTGCATTCGTTCTGGGTGAACGTTTCGCATGACACTGATGAAGACCAGTGGCGGCGCCGGTCGCGGCGCTAAGGCGAATCGGTCAGGGTGTGAGCCCCGTTACGCAGAATCGCGCCCAGGTGCCGGCTGTGCGGAGGTGATTTAGCACCGAGCGCGGCCGCCAGCTCGCTCAACTTATACAGTCGTCTCTGAGGGATTTGGCCGGGCTGAGGCTGTTGGAACTGTCCCGACTCGGAGTCACTGCTGGGACGAAATCCCGTCTGGTGGCCTGAAAACCGGGCTGCTGTCCTGCGGCTGAGTTATGGGACTGTTTGAAGTTTGCTGACTAAAGGCTTGTGGTGCTGCAACCATTGGCCTTTGTATAATTAGTGGAAAATGTTCAGACGATTTTGTTATTTATTTAATTTACTCCGTCGTTCGTGGGTGGCTTCTATCCAAATTCAGCAATAGGCGCCCAGCCGTTGCTCTGATTATGTTAAAAAGCTGACGAATGCGTCTATTGAATGTTGATTATTGCTGATAGCTGCTACCCTCGAACACTCAACTTCATCGAACTACTGAATTCTCTGAATGGTATACATCGATTAGATGCATCTATATTAATTTACGTATCGTCAGCCTTGTCCGCCGCCTGGTGGGGGCCGGCGGGTGGCGGGTCTGCCCAGCTGTTGTATGTAATGTTTACCGGCTCCTCCTAATCACACTGCCCTCCTCCGTCCCTCCACCGCCTCCGCTGCTGCTGCAGCTGCCCCACTGGTATGCAGCCGTCATTGCCCAGGGTCTCGGGGGATGCCGGCCCTAATGTCGGCGCGAGCCGGCCAGCCATATCGACTCCGCCCCGCCCCGCACACACCGTCCCAGCCGGGCTACATTCGGGCCGAAACGGCGGCCGCGCCCGGCGCCACCGCGATTGGCCGAATCAGGACCGGCGACATATGCCAGCCCGGCTGCAGATATACAGAGCAGAAACAGAAGACAGCGCACTGTGGCCCAGACGACGCGCCTTGTTAGTGGCACGGGTTCGGGGAATTGTGGCGTAGCCACTGTGCTGATTGGATACTGCGTCAGTAAAAATAGAGCGCATTTTGTTGAGAGAAATCATCTCGTTTTGTTGGAATTCTGTCTGTAGATCGTGTTGCTGATGATTTGTGAGCTGTCAACAGCGATGCTCCTCCTGTCACCACTGTGGCCACGGGGACAGGACGTTATTCGGTCGTGTTCAGGCTCGCTTGTGGCCAGTCCATCTTCATTAGCGTCACGGCTTCGGTTCTGAATGGAGCGGCCATTGATTGCCGGCGGACAACATGCAGACGAGATCGCATTGTGCTGGCGTCTCGTCAGTCAGGCCGGCTGCCTGCTTGTAATGACTGCACGCTCATGAAATATTCAGACCGCCCGACCTCCGGCGCCGCCCGGCCGGCCTCGCGTTTAGGCGACGGGCTGATCAGGTCGCGCTATATTCTCAATTCTCATTGCCTGGTGAGAGTCGTGATGAATTTATCAATTACATTGATTTGATTGATTCTGTTGGACAGTGCTGTCATTGTTTTAGAGTTTTTGCTTGTTTTTGTTTTGTTTTTATTGAATGAATTTAATTTTCATTTATAAAACAGTCCTTTTCTTTTTGTGCGCTTGCTTTGCAGTGATTTTTGAGTGTTACATGTATTTATGTTGTCATTCTTTTCGTTTTTTATGTCGTTTTTTATCTGATTTCTTCGAGATTCTAAGTTAACTGATCTGATGACCCAGTGTATGACCATGGATGAGATAATAATAGTGTTATATCATCCAGTGTATGACCTCGTGTGACCCCGGCGTCTTCTCTGTGTGCCCTCAGGGAAGAAGGAGTGGACGGGTATGATTGGTGAGCTGGTGAGAGAGCGCGCAGACATGATCGCAGCCCCGCTCACCATCAATCCGGAGCGGGCAGCCTTCATCGAGTTCAGCAAACCGTTCAAATACCAGGGCATCACCATATTGGAAAAACGGGTGAGTGACACTCCGTGGCCTGTGAGTGTCAGATCTACTTATTGGATTAGACGCGTCATTTCGGGGAGTGACATTCGCGTGTCATGCTTCGAAGTATTTCAGAATACGTTATATGCAGGGCATCTGAGTAGAGTAAAATTGCTTCATGTATTCGTTAGGAGAAAGCTCAAGATGTATGGGTATAATTGCTCTTGCACTGTCCAACAAGAATGCAATTGCTCTCGGCTTGGCATGTGCGCACCAGCGTGGTTATGTGGCCCCTAGTCACCGGCGAACATTTGCTCATCGTAATTGCCCGAGCCTGAGTGAGGATGTACCCTCTCTAGTCTCCGCCCACTATTCAGAAAGTTCTATTTGAAATACGTTGTGCATCCATACTTACATAACGTTCTTGAATGCATTGGTGCATGCAAATATATCCATTTGAGTACTTTTCGTGATAAATGAAATAATGTTTGAGAATAACTCTGTCATCTTGATTTAGCTTCATTCATTCTGCAAGGATTGATCATGCCTGCTGAATATCAGCACACCATGTGGCCGTCATAACCAACCAACTCAAATCACTCGAACTCAGGACACCCTAATTTCATGCAGTCCTGGCTTCATTGGTGATTTATGGGGACTATACCGCCGACATTTTAATGATTTCCTCCAGATTTTATAATGCAGATGGGTGCTTATTAATCTGCCCTTCGTTGCATGTTAAGTTAATTCCTTGGACTTGTTGGTGAAGCACAAGTTTTGGGTGCCGAAAAGTAAAGATTGTGCAAGGCGTGCTCGGCTGGACTTCTGTCACGTATCAGCTCAAACTTTTGGTAACATACAATTACATATTGATTATGGACGTTTCTTTATAGTCCCCACAAAGTGACTTTTTTACTTTGCTTTTTATTGAGTTTTAAAGCACCAGTTGTTTTGAGGATTTGTTTACAAATGTAATATTTGCTTCGTAAATTTGTCGTAATTTTCATCACGAGCTCAACCGACGCATTAAAATGTGACGAAACCGCTGAATGCCAAATCGTGGTTGCTACGGGCTCAGGTATCAATAATCCAGAAGGCATTTTTCTGCCTTGTTTTACGATCGTTCTAATAGCCTTTCAGCTCCTCAGTATCAAATAAATGTCGCTTATAAATGCTACCGATCTAGCGTTAAACCCTATTCGCCTTTGACCAGCTTATTTACAGAAAAAAATCCAATAAAAAATTAGATCAATTTTGGCGCCATTACTTAGCCACTATTAGGAACTGCTTTTAGATACATTTTAATAGTTTTTTTTTTGTCTCAGCGTCATGTGTCTTGGAAAAGCAGACCTACAAAAACGTGTTATTCGCATAAATCGATAGTTGGATTTCTTTGCTGTGCAGCTGCAGATATTCTTGTTGAATATCCACGAATTGTTCAAATGTTTTGCTTGATGAATCTGGAGTTTCTAAAAAGCCCATTACGGGCAGAGCATGCTTTACAAGCATTGGTGTCATTTTTAATAGATTTTTGACGCAGAAGTTTCATTGCATACACGTAGAACCCAGTTATCTTCACATGTAGCATAACTTTTAAAATCTCACGGAGTCCTGTCCTGGCCCCTATGGTTTGAGTAGGGGACTTTCTTCTGGTTAACTCCAAAGCTCATAGCCGAATATTTGACTTGTCTCGCTTTATCAAACACGACCTTGAGTTATGCTCTCGTTTGGTTCAGAAAACATCCTCCTCAACAGCTGTTCACTGGGCTTCCCTTCCAGACTATCATTCGTACAACATTGTTCAAATCGAATATTCATTTGCCTCTTTGCGTGCTATGATATATGAACGACATACTCGTAAGAGACGATAAATGACATTATGCTTGATCTAAGGCTTGAGTCTACGATATGCCCTAATGATCGAACAGCGTTTGAGATATCTCTCTGTGATCAAACGAGTGCATTTTCATTCCATTTTATTCAGCCTAGCCTAATGACAACTGGCCAATCTTGAAAAGCTGAAGGCAATCTCCCAATGTCCCAGTTTCTCGAACCGGCCTCGGGAACGCTGACGATCTCGCTGTTTTGTTGTTGTTTTGTTGGGTTAGGCCCTTTCGGTCGACAAGACCATTGCAGAGCCGGAAGGATGATAGGAATTAGGGGGAGACATTGGTCTGGGCAGGCACCCTAGTGAGTCGCCGGGGCTGAGCCCGTCCAGAGGACAGGCCACCCAGCCCCAAGGCACTCACTGCACCCGGCTACGGGGTGCGCTCCCTCGGGAGCAGCGGTGCCGCTCCAAGGGAGCAGCCCGCATGAGATTAAGTTGCCTGTCCAGCCCGGAGGGGGGTTGCGGCGTGGAGGAGGAGGATTTCAGTATCCTGAGGATAGAAGCACGGATAGGTGATCTCGCTGTTTTTAATTAGAATGACTTTTTACAGCTGTCGGTCATAATTTCCCCGACAGAGCCGAGGGCGGATCTTTGAAGGCGAGCCGGCTCTTCATTGGTATTCGGCCGTTAGCGCGAGGAGTAGCTGAGGAGGTCTCTGGGGTCTTCCAATGCTGGTGGTGCAGGGAACTATGTCGCGGTGGAGGTCGATTCTGTAGCGATATGCTTATAGGTGTGGAAGACATGACATTGCATTGGTCATCACAAGACGGCTTCATTGCAGGAGCTCAACGACATTAATAAACAAAATCATCGAAGTAATATCAGAGTAATTTATTAATGTGCAGTGGTTTATGATGTTTACGTGAATACCTTTTGGAAGAATTGGCTATGTTTCATGTTTAAACATTTCCTGAGACAATATCTGCATTTCCTGTGACATAGCGATGTTTTGCAACACTTATATGTCGCATCCAAAGTACATTTTGCTGTTACGATTCAGCCGGCGGCGGATATGCCATATATCTCTACAGCTGTCTGGTCTTATAAGTGGTCAGTTTATCGCGAGTCTGCGGTAGTTTCAGGATCAACAGCAGACGTTGGCAGCCCGGCCGTCAGCTGATTTGCGGCCGGGGTCTTGGCTGACTACTGATTGGGACTAGGTTGTTGGGTCCACACCAAAGCTCTATAGCGCTCTACTGTAGGGGTAGCAAGAGTTGCTATTGAACAAAATGTCAGCTAAAAAGGTACATTTCATGCATTTACCCGCAATTCCTTTTCGTTTTCTGGCCTGCTGTGAACGTATTGACGGGTAGACGACGATAGTTACCAGTTTGACCGGCCGCGGGGCTGACCTAAGGTCACTCGATTAGCCTGTTGCGATGTTTATAGAACGTTCGCTCTCTGCCTACGAATGCCGACTGGTGGTCAGGGTGTTGAAAGTTGACAAGATTGTGCTACTACTTCGAGCCATTGAACTGTATCAGTGATGCTAAATTATTGTTATCTCGCTCCACTGTATCTCGCTTTTTGCGCCAGGGAAAGCAGCGGAACAACCCCGTCCCTCGCAACCACCGTACTTGCTGACTGACCCCTGACCCCCCCCCCCCCTCCCTCCTCTCGCTCTCGATACCTGCACCTTACTTACCACCTATGGGCTGATGCGCCGACCTGACCCCTCCCCTTCCCTGCTGGCACTCGCTGCCACCTTACTTACCGACTACGGACCGATGCCCTGACCCCCATCTCTTTCTCTCTCCCCCTCTCTCTTCCGGCAGCAACCGCGGGCCTCCACACTGGTCTCCTTCCTGCAGCCGTTCAAGCACACGCTCTGGGTGCTGGTGCTGGTCTCAGTACACGTCGTGGCGCTCGTGCTCTACCTCCTCGACCGGTTCTCGCCGTTCGGTCGTCAGGCGAGCAGGGACAGTGGCAATGCAGAGGATGACGCGCTGAACCTGTCGTCTGCCATGTGGTTCGCCTATGGGGTGCTGCTCAACAGCGGCATTGGTGATGGTGAGTGTCGTTTGGGAAGAGGAGGGGAGAGGAGAAGAGGAGAGAGAAAGAGAAAGGGAGTAGATCGGGGGATACGAGTAGGAAACGTGGGCGGAAGTTGTTAGGGAAGGGAGATAGCATCAAGAAGTTAATTGCTTAATTTAATGAGGTCCGACAACGGTGTAGATGAGGAAATGTGGAAATGTTTGACTGCTCCTACATTGTTCTGAATAAATCTGATGAATAGAATTGGAACATTAGGATTTGAGGCAAATTACATAGTTGCCCTGGAAGATAGCGACACTTATAAATGAATTCGATGGCGCAATATTCATGCATGGCATACATTTCTGCGGAAAGAGTGAGATAGGGAGAGAGAGAGAGAGAGAGAGAGAGAGAGAGAGAGAGAGAGAGAGAGAGAGAGAGAGAGAGAGAGAGAGAGAGAGAGAGAGAGAGAGAGAGAGAGAGAGAGAGAGAGAGAGAGAGAGAGAGAGAGAGGAGAGAGAGAGAGAGAGAGATGCAGCGCTCCGAGTCGCTGCGAGGTCCGGCCCCGGCACGCAGCCCCTGTCGTTATCGAGTTCCTGTGTCCGGTAACGAATGACCGTGGCCCGCTGCCGTTACATTAGCACTCGGAAATGGGCGGTGGCCCACTCGGCGACCACAATGCCGCCGGGCCGGCCGCGCCGCGCCGCCGGCCACTTTAATGCCGCCCCGATACAAAGGACCGGCCACCAGACGGTATTTCGGGACCCCGGATACCATACGAATCATCTGACGGCTCTCCCGAAACGGCCGTTTAAATGACTCGAGTGCCGCCGTGCCGGGAATATTTCATAAGGCGTTGCATTTACATAGAGCATTAGCGATGGGGTCTTATATCAGGTTTATTCGGTTTGGGATGGTTTTTGTAAATATGCCATCAGTTTGTGTTTTCCTCAGGAGATGGATGCTTAACAGGAGATGTGTTAACCTCAGGAGATGGCCGGCCCGCGACCCAGCACCGGGTCGCGGGTCGGCCACCTTGCGGCGAATGTGGTAACTACGGATATTGCAAAGCGTTGAGAATCTACAGTATGTTGAAGTCTAGCTGAAAATATGAATAAGCCTTGTTCTTAGGCCTTTAGATGACTATTCACACATAACTATGGGCGCTAAATTTGTTAGTTAAAAATTATTATCAGAATTCAGCTGAACCTAACTTCCCTTGAATGATGTAAACCATCAGTCATTCTAATTTTGAAATCGCCAGCTCATTAAGCTCTCCGCTTCAAATTGTCGGTTCACGACTTAGTTATCTCTTTCTCCATGCCATTCCGCATAAAACACTCAAACTAACCAAAGTTGTAGAGAAGTCAGTCGGAAGCCGGTGGAACAACTTACAAAGAAAAATAAAACTACAATAACCCAAAATCAACACTGTGGTATTTTTACCTCCTTTTCTGCATTTAATTTCAGGCACTCCGCGTAGCTTCTCGGCCCGGGTACTGGGTATGGTGTGGGCTGGATTCGCAATGATCATCATCGCCTCATACACTGCCAACCTGGCTGCCTTCCTCGTGCTCGACAGGCCTCAGACGCGGCTTAGTGGCATCAACGACGCTAGGGTGAGTCTTAGAGCGTCATACGACGTCATATAGTGGCTCGTCATTCCATGATGTTAGGAAATAGGATGGTGTGATGTGCTGGGCTGCACGGTGTGGGGCGTTGTTTCAACAATAGAGAGTTATTTGAGAATGTGTGGGATTGACGATGTGTAAGCTACCGTGGCTTGTGACGTAGAGCAGCTGCTTGGTTAGGCACAGAGTGGATATTATTTAAATTGTATCCGTAACGTAATGTGTTTTATGTGACAGGATGTCTCCAGCACCACCCAGCGACCAGCCGATAATGTAATATTAACCGCCTCACGCTCCGGTGCTAACCTTTAAGCCGGTCACACATTCACCAGATTAAGTATAATGAACCGGCTCGCTGAGACAATAATGGGGTGTCGCGCTCGCCGAACGGCCCTCCACGGCAGCGGGCGTGTCGTGTTGGGCGCGCATTACACACTCGCTGAGCCTCGAACGCGTGGTAAAGTGCGCCATCTGCATGTCGCAAATCACGGCTGAAGCGGTCGGCCGTCGGTCGGGCGAGCGGCGCGGAGTCTGACGAGCCGGTCTGTCCGGTTCCAGTTGCGGAATCCAATGGAGAACTTTTCGTACGCCACCGTCAAGGGCTCGGCGGTCGACATGTACTTTCGGCGACAAGTGGAGCTGAGTAACATGTACCGAACTATGGAGGGGAAGCAGTTCACCTCGGCAGAGGAGGCCATCAAAGCCGTCATCAACGGGTGAGAATGATTGAGAGGGAACGGGAGCAGCTGAGGATCTGAGCGCTTCAGATGAGGATCTTGGGGTGCTGGCCTTCTGTCAGTTTTTAGTAATATGACCGCCTGTTTCATGCTCATATAATCAGCTCTTTTTTTGTTAGAACGTAATTCAGATATCGTTACGGCCAGTGAGCTGAATTCGTGTTTGTTGCACTAAGAATGAATGTACCGATACCTTGTTTCACTTCAAATTGCTCGTTATTTACAGTTCTCCATTCATTATCCGTCTAATTCTACCTGGTAACGACTTCACTCCGTCTTTGTTTTCCACTTCTTATGCATGTTTAAAGGGAAAGTCTAAATATTGGAAGCATTCGACGCGAGTCCACGTCCGTATGAAATTTTAAAACGTCCCCTCGTCCCAACGCTGACCACTGCCCTCCATTCGCAGCTCTTTAAATGCCTTCATCTGGGACAGTTCACGACTCGAGTTCGAGGCCGCGCAGAACTGTGCCCTGGTGACGGCGGGAGAGCTCTTTGGCCGCTCCGGCTACGGGATCGGCCTAAAAAAGGACTCGCCATGGGCCAATCACGTGACCCTGGCCATCCTCCAGTTTCACGAGAGTAAGTTCTCCATAAATAAGGTGGCTATGGGGAGCCATCGTGTGTCTGGCTTTCCCCCGGGGCTACTGAAAGGCAGATGGAGATGTGTGATGGTTGATAGAAATCGATGTTTGACGTCTTTGGTTGAGATGATAGAACGAATTTTATAAATGTGTGACGTCGTCTCTAAACTAGTTATTGCACCGGGATGCACCGCTTACTCATCATCTTGTCGTTGTTGCTGAATAGTTACGCATGTGTAAATATCCTGGAACTTTTCGGAGCATGTCACCTAGTGATTTGTTAGCCCGTAAGCCGCCAAACTATAGTCACTAATCAGTCGCCAATCGTGACTGTTCTACTTCGATGATGACAGTGTTCTTTATGTGTCTGCCGGTCGCGCCAAACGACACCCAATGGCCCGTTTTTCCTCAAGCAGCCATATTGAAGAGAATGAACAACAGGTTAATGATACTCTTGACTTACGTCATGCCCACATCTCTCCGCAGGTGGCTACATGGAGCAGCTAGACAATCGATGGATCTTCCAAAACCGCAAGGAGTGTGAGACGAGAGAGAAGGCGCCAGCGACGCTCGGTCTGAAAAACATGGCCGGCGTGTTCATACTGGTGCTGGCAGGCATCGCCGGCGGCTGTGCACTCATCATTATAGAGATCATCTATAAGCGGCACAAGATCCGGAGCCAGCGGAAACTGGCGCTGGCCAAAAATGCTGCGGACAGGTGGCGGGGAGCTGTGGAGGTGAGTGTGGGAAGTGGCTGGTCTGTGCTTTGGGTGGGATGGGTGCGGGCCTGCGGGTCGTGGCAGATGTGCGTTTTGGGTGTGTCAGGTGGTGGATGAGCGGTGGGGATGAAGGAGTGATGATATGCGTGCGATGGAGGATGTTTAATCTTCTTATGGGTTTGGAGAGGCGTACCTTGCGCAACTGATGTTAATGATATTCTCACCATCAGTACTTTAAGGTCAGAAGAAGTCGCACAAGTGCTTACACACAAAATGAAATGAGTTTTCCGAAACGCGGGACAGGCAACGTCATTTCTCCCTTCAAGTTTAATCAATTTGGGACATTTCGTTAAAGCCTGTTTCCCTGGAAAGGTGATTATTACCTTTTTTAAATTCTGGTTTAAATGGCGCATCCCATGTATTCGTAATCGATCTTCTGTCGATCTCGCAATGATGACGCCGCGTATAAGCATAGTTAAAATACCAGCATAAACAATGTCACCATACGTAACCGTAACACTCAGCAGGCAGCCAGTGGATAGTGGATAGTGGATGGACTCGATCCATTAGCTAGTTGACAGAACCATCGCGCCAGCTAGCCCTCTCTAGCTACACTTCACTAACAGGAGCTTCCTCCCTGTTCAAAAACACGCGCAGCAGCGGTGCAGCTAACGGGCGGTTCCGTTTTCGGTCGATCGGCGGCCGGATGTTCTGCCACCGGTCTCGGTCGCCGGGTGCCGCCGATATAACGGATGCCGCTCGACTCTCATTGATCGAGTACCGATGACGTAGTCGCGCCGTGGGAGGGCATAATCAAACGGCGATGGATACCGAGATCTGGTGGCAATCGCTGGATAAAAGGACACAAAAACCTAATTGGGACTGCGACTGATCGGTTCTCTTCTAGCTCGGTTCTGACGCTTCTTATCGCCAATATTCTGGTTATTGTTTCATTGTTTTTTATATAAAGACATTTTACGTTGGTGGCAGCAAAAAAGTACATGTTTAGTGAAGCATCCTTGCGGGGTTGACTATGAGGTAGGTGTAAATACCCTAACTGTTGTTCCGTTTAGCCACCTGCTAAAGAATGGAATAGCGACCTCCCGTGCAGACTATGAAATGGTTATTCTTCACCGGCAGCCGCTCGTAAGGAATAAGTCTAGGTCATAAGATTCCTCCCTCAAGATGAAATGCCTCATCGTGAAGTTATTGCTCTCACAAACAGGCAATAAGCCACAATAACTGACGGCATTTATTTGTGCCATCCGCTATATTTCGCCGCATTTTCTTTTTGTGTGCTCGGATTCAAGTCTTTTTTCATCCAGCTACTCCATAAAAACGTTTCGTTTTGTTCTTTTCAAGGTATGATGAGTTTTTTTTTTTAGTTCGTTAAAACTACTCTCTTGCTAATTATTCACCCATTTTTCCATTATTTCTTAGGACCATTTAATGCAACATTGGTTTGTGTTTGTTTGTTTTCTAAGGTATGATGTTCAATGATCATTCATGTCGCTTGTATTGCTACGTTCTCATCCATGTTTAGCACCTACTCCTCTGCCACCTGTTCAGTCCTCCGGCCTCGTCAGCGACTCTTCTTTCCCTCAAACATGCTACCCTCTCCAAGTCTACCTTCCTCGTTGTTCCTATGCACTCTGCCTATCTCCAGCAACTCTGAGGCGTCACCACCAACTCTGAACGAACCCCTGACGCTCCTGTGTAGCGAGACTCGGACCTGAAGCGGCTGGCGTTGCTGGCGGACGTGGACGCTCCGCCTGATGTGCCCCGAAACACGCCCGAGCCGTGCCGCGAGCCGACGCTACCCCCGGTCCTCATAGGACTCGAGTGGGAGACCAATTCGCCTGTGTGACATACCGTCCATTGATGGACAGTTAGTGGTGAGACGCCGTGTGATGAGATGCAGTGAGGTGGGACTAACCAGAGGCCGAAAACTAACCGAGAGTGAGAACTAACCAGAACACCTAGCCAGAAACCTGGGGCTGGGACTAGCCAAAGAGCTACGGCTAACCGAAGATTGAGACTAACCAAAGAGTGAGGTCTAATTAGAAGGCGAGGGCTAATTGGACTAACTATAGATATATCCACGCCTAGGCATATACCTAAGATCTCTATGTCAACGTAGCAACAGTGGTAAAGAAAGATGGTCGCCATGTGTGCTCTGGAGTTTTCCACGAACGATGGGTTATGTAACATGCGGTGCTGTAGATTTGAAGCGGTTCTGGACTGACATACTTAAATTCGCCTTTTGCGTTCAATTAGTTTGTTTCTTTTCAGCCCGTGGCACTTCACATTAATTCTTGGAATATCAAATCCCATCAAAGCTCCGCAATATTAACCTCTCATTTCAGTTGCTGGAAGTCATAACTCATAATTCTTTGTTGCCGTGTGTTAAGCTCACATTTTCATGGTTTCCTAATCTGCTCGAAATAATATAATCATATTTCCTGCCGCCGGGTAATGGCCTGCGCCGTGGATGGCTCCTGTACCTACGCCGTATGCGCTACTCCAGCACCCGTTCATTGTTTCGCATCTCAATTAAAACTTCATGGTGGTTTCAGTCTGGCATGATGGTTTGATGCGAAATGTAGTTTCTTGATCTATTTAGTTCTCCTTCCCATGATGGCGTAACTCAGAATTGGGCCTTTGTAACGGGGCCTGGTTATCGAAAGTCCTCTGAGACTTGAGTGTCATAATCGCTCCCAAATGTCGCATTTTGTCACCACTTTTCGATGACTTGGCTCATAATCCTTGCCAGCTCTCCCCTATTGACTCAACTCATGTTTACAGCAGATGCGTCTACGTTCATCCCTGCCAGCGTCTGTGTATGCACTTTGCACCCTCGCCGCCCTCGCCGCCCTCCTGTGACCTGTACCCTCTCTGACACACGGTGTGTGACACCAGCCTCTGACACGGCGCCCCCCGACAGTGCCGGCCCCCGAAGGCGTCCGAGGGCGACCCCCCGGCGGCGGTCCGGCTCGCCACAGCCGGCAACCTGAGTCCCCTGCAGGTCCGCCACACCGCCGGCCCGCTGACCGTCTGTCGCACTTTCTCTCTGTTTCTCTCTGTCTGGCTTCCGCTGCTCACACTGCCGCGCTCTGCCTGCTCGTAAAACTGCCCTCACTGCTGACACTGCCTCCACCGCTGAGCATCACACGGCCGCCTCTGCAATACTGCTCTGATGCTGATGATGCCGCTGACACTGCTACTGATGCTGCCGCTCACACAGCTATCGCTTCCTTTGGTGACACCACTGCACGCGTGCCAGTCTTCCGCCTCTCTGACCTAGCTCTCCTCGCGGGTGATGCTCGCCGGCGCTTCGAGCGGCAGGACACCGCTTCGATTCATCCATAGGCGCGCTGCGTAGGTCTGATGACACGCTTCCAGTGGTGTGCCTGCCTGTACAGAGTGTGAGCGGAGCCGGCTGGCGCGCCGGGACGGCTATGAGTCGAGAACGGCAGCTTTGTGGAGTGAGCGGGTTGTATATACGAGGGGGACTGTCTGTCGTCTGTGATTCTAGTGCGGTCTGCCTGCCGGGATGAGCGGTGTTGGAGTCGTGCGCTTCAGTTTGGAGTTGTACATAACAGACGGCTGGCACCGAACCGCTACACCTACACATCGAATGCTGTGAATTGTGTAACATACGGCACCAGCCAGCTCGGTTGAAGCCGCGTTTGGGGTAGCGGAACGTGCCTGTAGTCTGTAGTGATAGCTAACTAACGAACCACGCTGCCCGGATGCAGCGGAAGATGTAACATGCATCACCGCGGCTGAGCTTAAATTAATCTGATGAATCTATTTGTACAAAGCTGTTTATGTTTCCATTGTTTATAACTGCGGTTATTCGTTTCATTATTTCGTCAAAAAGCCATAGACTAGATTAATCTGATTTTCGTTTGTAATTTTGAGTTGTGAATTTTTAAATGTAGATATGTGAAATCAATTTCAGCTTTGATTTTAGCACTGTCGTGAAATAGCTGTATTTTTGAACGACACTTATGAAGATTTCGAACACTTCAAACTTTCAAAGTTATGTCGGTAGCCCAAACTGTAAAATACGAATCGCTCAGCGAAAAACTCGCTGAAGACTATTATTGGACCTCGATCGATGCCAATCTCGTACGAACCAACTCAATCCCCAGTTGTCCTCAATCACTCGCTCGCCGCCGCCGCCGCGGGCCTCTGACCGTCTCCGCACCACGTTCCAGAAGCGGCGCCGCCTGCGCCAGTCCCGCCAGCACGCGCGGCACAACGGCGAGCCGGGCTTCTCCGCCGACCCTTTCGGCACCGACTTCAGCAGCGCCTTCTCGTGGAGCTCGCCGGACGTGCGGCAGCGGGTGCTGCAGCCGCCGCCGCCGCCCGCCCGCAGAAAGATGACCATACTGGACGCCTAGCGCCACCGCGCGGCCGCTGCACCAACCACAGCTTCTGGTGGCTGTCGCGCGGCGGCGGTGCGACGTGCTCAAAGTCAGTGGTAAAGGGACCGGTCCGTGCTAGGACTGAAAGGTGCTCTTTTTTAGCCAGCTGGTTGTTATTTGTTCGAGCTATTTTTGCGCCAAGTGAGTGTGTGTTTGTGTGTGCAGTCGTTGTGAGAGCGCGTGGTTAGGAGTGCTGTAGCACTGTTGGGAAAATCTGCGTTGTGTTGAGTCGTATCATCAGCGTTTGTGGCTGATGAGTATCGCGGCCAATACGGTGGCGGTGGTGGCCGCCCTGCAACCATTCCTGTGACGTCTCAGACGAGACACGTGCCAACCTGGTCTTCGCTCGTAGGAAGCACTCTCGCACCTTCCCGTCCCGAATACGGTACTACTGGGAGCTGGACGGCTGTCCCAATCGCTCGGAAATGATGAACCAATTCCGGTAGTGGATATCCAAAACACAAAACTATAAGCCCATACCCCATACTAGAAGACAATCATCTTGTTTTCATTTTTCTTTCATCAAAAATCAATCCATTCCCTAAGTCTCATGAGGTATCATCTCTTAGTATCTCGTCAGTTTCGTTGGGCCGGCTGGGTTCTCGGTTCTCCCTCCCTCGGCCCTGCTCCAGTAACCAGCCGGTTCCGGGTGTACGGGTGCAATTCCGCCTCGCGATTCAACTAGGGCCGACGCGTACCGAAAAGGCGAGTCTCTGGTGAGAGCCATGCCGTCCTTACGTGCTCAGGAGATCGCTTCGACGACACTGGGCTCGGCGCGGCGGCGGCGCCCGAGCGACTCTGGCACGGACTTGGGCTGCAATATCTCACCGAGTCGGGCTGCCATATCTCACCGAGTCGGGCTGCCATATCGGGAGGGCTCGGGCCGTGGATGAACAATGGTCTCGGGTCGATGGATACCTTGGTTCTTTGTGGTCAGTGCGCGGGGGACCGGCCGTGCTCTGCCCGATTCGGACGCGTTGTGAAAAGTGAAGCGTCCCCGGGGGAAGTGATGGACGCGCTCTGATCGATCCGCTCGCCGCCTCACAATGTCGGCAGATATATTGGTGCGATGTTGCTCAACCCTGCACTGGATAGGGGCGGGCCGCTGATGATGATGTGGCTGGGCTGAAAGCTACCCCGTCGAAACAGGCGGCCTAGCCTCGCATCACGAGATCAGAGAGCTTATTTCATTTGAGCTCGAAAGCCTTAGATAACTGATGACTATCACGTTGCACTCAGGCCGGCGTGGCGTAGCCAAAATGAACCGCAATATCATTGGGAGCGCCAAATTCCGATCGGGAGACGGCTGGAGCGCCGTTCGCACGTAGCTGCATTAGACGGTAGACTCGGAGCACTTCTCTCTGTACATAGACGGCTCCGTGGGCCACCAGTGATGCACACTCAATGTGTAGAGCTCAGATATGGGTGACCAGAGCGAGTGTGACTGGGGAGCAGTCACTGAATCTCTGGCGAGTCGTCAGAGTGTGACGGAGAGGCGGGTACTGGTACGGACTTCGTGATGATCGGTGAGCAGTGATCTCTTCGCACCGGGCTGAGCAGGGTCCGTTGGGTTCCAAGTAGGTCGCTGCTGGGATTTTGTTCCTCTGTCGCTCTAGTCAGTCGCAGGTTCTACCTCTGTGTGATGCTGTGGTTGACTATGAAGCTAGCGAATCATCAGTAGCAGATGCCGTTCACTTCGTTGCCACCCGACCATATCTTGATTTTCGTTTGCCAATGTCACGCTGACTGCAGTCTGCTGTGTTGAATATGGGTTTTAGCTACTGAATTGGAAACTGGAGTTCGCTCTTTTGTATGAACTTGCCAGCTTGGTAGATGAATGTTAAATCGGTGACAATCTGAAAAGAATTGTATGCAAGACGGCAGTTCCCCCATCGTGTGGTTTCTAGAATCGTGACTCATTTATTTTATCTGAGAAGAATCTATTGTCACTTGCTTTCTTACCTGCAGCTTAGTTTCCAGCCGTCGACTGTTTCTATGAGGCATTATCTTTATCATTATTTTAATCTCATTCACTCGAGCCTCACTGCATCATTTTCGGGTGCCAGCCTAAGCACTTTCGTCGCTCGTGCGTCGCCAGTCCCTGGTCTGTGGCTGACACTGAGGGGTGACCAGGGCGGCTGGGACGAGCGAAAAGTGCTGACACTCTGCCAGCAGCCGAGCTTTCTGTCCGATATGGAGGCCGGGGGGCGGCGGCCGGCGCGCTCTGCCCGTGTATATAGACGATATGGTGCGTGTGAACGCGGTCAGTGGTGCTTCAGAGAGTCTGCGACGGGTTGTGAGAGTGAACCGTGCCATGCTGGTCCAATGTCAAGGGTAGTCTTCGTATAGTGCGCGAATAAACTTTGTGATAACATGTGTCTGGTCTGTGATTGTTCGGGGAGGCTCATCAGTCATCACGGTTCTAGGGGCCCTGGATTGGAGAAGGCTCAGGCCTCGAGGTTTCGAATTCCGCTTCATCACGATGCAGCAGGACGTTTCACAAAGTTTTTAGCAACATTTATTGCATTGCAGCACAACCGTATACACATAGAAATTCACGATTACGATTCGCCCTTCGGCGATTTAGGCAACTTGGGCAGTTGATATCTTATTATCTTATCCATTGGAACACATTGATGTGAAAATACGAGTAGTTACTGCTCGTAGATACATAGCGCTCATAGCAAAATTTGCCTGTTTAGATAAGATGTGAGTGCAACAGCTTATGACCAGTTTGACTAGAAACAATGAGCAACGATTGCAACTGATAATACACACCACCTATCTATACAATATGCATACAGACGTAACTGGCTTAGAGAAGAGCTGATACAAAAACCAATGCATTTAACTTCATACATATCTACACATATAGAAGGTTCCAAGGCGGCGTCGAAACCATCACAGCCCTAACAAAACAAACAAGCGAAGCGAGTGATCTTTTGGTAATTAAAGCTCTAAGAGGTCATGGTGTATATTGCACTGCATGATATCCCTGGGGATCTTTGATCTCATTTGTAAATGGTTCTATCTCTGGCTATCAGAGAATGAACGAGAGTCTTTCAATGTAGCAAATCGCACGCACTTTTAAGTGATATGTGTCCATTCACTTTCTACTGATATGAAGTTCGCCGTTTGGTGAACTGCATTCGCAACGCAAGTTACGAGTGGCGCACATCCACAGCTTGTATATGATCGGTGCTCCATTTAGCTTCCACACACATCACATACATATCCTTGTCAAACGTCAACCCTATTCATTTACACAGTGCTACTTGCCTCTCGGCTCTTACCTCACACGCGCACCTGTGAGATCTCCGAAAGTATCTCAACTCACCAGCTCAACACTTCACTCTTTATCCTCCAAAACACTCGCTGGAGAGTCATGCTCGTCCTTCAGACTTCCCTCATCGTCTGTGTCATCAGCGAACTGAATATCATCACCGACCTCCGTCCTATCGGTCACCTCCTCCGCCACTTCTGTGAGCTCCGTGAGCTCAGCATCAGTAGCAGCACCCTCTGCAGCTACCTCAGTCACCTGGGTGGCCTCAGTGGTACCCAGCTCACTCATCTCTCCCAGTTCCAGCTCCTCGGTGGGTGTGACGTCAAAGTCGTACGCGCACAAGCTCAGCTGCAGAGGGTCCATGCCAAAGATGGATCCGGGAGCGAGTGAGGCGTTGGCCATGTGGTAGTCGTAGTAGTCCAGCTCCAGCTCCTGGTCTGCCGTGCTCAGCGCGGCGGTCGACGCGGAGCTGAGCGCTGAGCTGACTGCTGAGCTCAGCGCTGACTCCGACACGGTGGGTTTCAGCGTGTCGGCTGACTCTGACCGAACCAGCAGACGGCGCCGGTTCTCTCGGTCCTTCCAGCGCTTTGACGCTGGTTTGGTGTGAGGTCGGTACTTCTCAGTTGACTCGGGCGAGTCCTCTGCCTCAGACCTCTTCTCTAGCGCCTGCGAGCGACACCTGGTCGACTTCAGACAGCTGAGAGGAATCGCCTCTGGCCTCTTATCCCCCGCGAGGCGGCTGACTCGTGCGGCCAGGCGCCGTCTCTCGGTGGCAGGAGAGCTGGGAAGGGAACACCCCGCCGAGGCATTGCTCGAGCGATGCCAGTCCGCCGCCAGCAGACGGTCACAGCTCGAGGTGCGAAGAGGAGGTCGTTTTCTCCTCGGGCCACGACGCAGACGCAGAATCACCGTAGACTCTGCTATGGAGGTGACTGAGGTGTGGAGAGATGCCCAGCCGGCGCCGCCGCTGCCGCCGCCACCACCGCCGTCGGCATCGTCAGCACTGCTGAACAGTGACTCGCAGCTGAAAACGGAGACAGATGGTGAGCTCTCAGCTGGATCGGGGCATGCAGTTTCAGGGCTGTAGGGGAAAGGGGTCTTGAGTTGATGCAGATTGATGTATTGTTTTGTATCATGCACGGATATCGTCTGCTGTTGAATTTTACGCACTACGTCTAATATTTACGCATATGGCAGTGTATCCTATAAAAAAGTTCAATGTTTTAAATGTATCCATCATCCTTGCAGCACCCGCCTTGAATGAGCATTGAGAAGGCTATCGAGTTGAACTGCCCTTTCCCTACATGTGTACGACCCTTCCCCCCCTCTCTCTCTCTCTCTCTCTCTCTCTCTCTCTCTCTCTCTCTCTCTCTCTCTCTCTCTCTCTCTCTCTCGACTCCGCAGCGCTCTGTCTGACCTATGTGACCTGGCAACTCGCCGGGCCTGCCAGGCGTGGTAAAAGGCCGCCCCCAGCAGTACCACCAGTATCACGGTCAGGAGGGCGATGGAGAGGACTCCGACAGTGGGGAGGCCGGGCCGCTTCGATCCAGCCATCGCCAGCTGGACGCCGCCACTCCGGTTAGACGCTGCGGGAGAGGGAGGCGCCAGTGAGGAAATAGCGACATAAACAGCACGCTGGTAAGTTATATAGACGCGATGGCCACTGCATCCGCATTCCGTCAGCGGTAAGTTTTAGTGGTATTATAGGAGTTATCGTTATGAGGTCGTACGCTTGTGTTCGACGGGGCGTTTGATTGCCTCCATGGGCTGAACCACCAGCCCAAAAACATAAACAGTGCACTACGGTCTCGTGTCCCCGAAGTAACAGTCGTGCGTGCAATAAACAACGAATCAGGTGTGCACCTGTCATTGCATAGGTGAAAATTAATGTGGCTTGCACTGAGTTTAAGAACAATATCCTGCCGATGTTCTTCTCACCAACAGCCGCCACTGACGCCAGGAACCCTCCAGCCGGATGTGCGGCGCTCGCCGGTCCTCCAATGTATTCCAGCAGCAGGAAGTTCCCGCTGCTGACCACAGGTGGCGGTAGTGCCGCTCCGCGTCCACCCACCAGCAGCTCAGAGTTGGAGTACGGTCCGTCGCGCGCATAAAGTCGCTCCGAGCTGGTGTTGAGCAGGAAGTAGGAGACGTGGAGAGAGAGCACGTTACCCTCGGTCGTCTGAAAAAGATGCATGCAATCAGGTTAGAGTTGCAGACATGATGGGGTGCTCTGAATAGGGCAACTGGTCTCCATCGCTTCGTAGAAATGTGAGCAATATGACGTTTAAGAGAGAACGGGTTCACTTATGTGAGATTCCTTCTGAGTATACAGTCGCGCAGGGAAATGTGTGTGCTTTCACACATTATGACAGCTTTACCTTAGATTTGGTGACTGCATCGGACGTTATATCCAATGTTGCATTTAATATTACAGCAAACATCAGTACAGTACATTACAATAGCAAGCATATGTATGCCCTCAGCAAACATACGTACCCTCTGCCGCCATGGCACCCTCTTCATGTCACACCCGCTATGCATCTCCTGCCCGTCCAATCACCCCACTTCCCCATTCATCCGCTCCCTTCGCCCTCACCTCAAACCTCCAGAGGCTGGCGGCCGGACAGCGACCTGTCGCTGCCGCCACGCTGTAGTTCTGCCCTCTGGAGAGAACCACGTCACATCCACACCTACAGGTGGGACTGACGTACGCCTTCTGGACTGGAGACAGCGTCACCGGCGGTGTGGGACACGGCGGGAGGGCGCACCGACGGACCTGGATCCCCTCACCCTGCCGAAGGAGAGAGGGCGGGTTTACGTAAGATTGGTTGAACTTAGATCTGAAAGGTAAGTGTGCTGAATGTCTTATTTTGTGATGCTAGTGTCGGTGTTTAATAACTTAAAATAATAACGGTTAACGTCTGAGAAGCAACAGGGTGCATTATTGGTCTGCGGCAGAGACTTATGACCGCATTACGATAACGAGTGACGTCATGATATTAGCGGCGACGTGTCAGAAATATCCCAACCGATGTGCTACGCTGACATCCTCAATGATGCTCTGTCGCGATAACTAAACAAAAAAAAAAGAGATGAGCGAAAAAGTCGCCAGCATCCTGCACTGCACAGTGCACATCTCTGTCACGGCTGAACTCATAGATCGTTCATTGATTAAAACACTTGGCCTTGAAACTGACTGAATAAACCTGCTGACGACTTCTGTTCCCGCCCTCCAGGTGCCGGGAGCTGGGGTTATTTACAGTACCTGGCAGTAGGCACCGTTGTTGCGAGGCGGAGGAGAGTTGCAGAAGCGATACCGGACGCTGGAGGCGGCCCCACAGCTGGTCCGACAGGGAGACCATGGAGACCACGGACCAAACCCGCCGTCGGTCCGCACTGCAACGAGATAGGCTAGTCATTAGAGACTACATAATAGACCACTGACGAACCCCGCCGTCGGTCCTCACTGGAACAAGACAGCTTAGTCACTAGAGACCATATAGACCACGGGCCAAACCCTCCGTCGGTCCTCACTGCAACGAAGCGCGAGGTAGGTGACAAGACCAAAGACCAAAGTCGCCGTATGCCCGGACTGAAGCGAGACATGTTAGGCACTAAATAGGCCGCGGACCACGGATCGAATATGTAGACCACGGACCAAACACGCCATCCGTCTGCACTGCAACGAGACGTGAGACGGTGAGGTGAGTCACATGAGACTACGCTGAGCTTTATGTGTGATGTGATTTAACTAACTTGTGGTAATTCGCCTAAGAACCCGACGCGGGGTAAGAGATGTATTTTCTGTCCTCGCCACGGGGCAATGGTCGATGCCCCAATCAGTGACAGAGTTTGGTAATTGTTTAGCCACAAGGGACGGAGGGCACGTCTGTCTAATAGCTGCTTACAGATAGGTAATAAGTTATGCAAACAGCCTGATAATGAAATGGTGCCTGTGCCTGCATCGCCTTATATCGACCTTTGTTGTAAAGCAGTGCAAGTCTTGAAAATGGAGCTGCCTGTAAAGTCGTAAACATATCATCCCAGCATGTTGGTAAGCTTATTGGCCCATAATTCACGAGGCATTAAGTCTACGACGCCGTATTTTTAAAGGGGCGTTTAATTCGTTCCCAGCGTCCCTGTGAGTCATTACCTTCCAAACTTGCGTGAAATGAATGTAAACCAAAACAGTGTAGATAAAAGGGAGCTGTTGAGCCAGCGAATAATTGCCTATTAATCAACTGTTTCCCTTTTAAAAGCACCCCACATAGCGTCTTTGGAAAGTTCATTGGAGCGCAACTCTGGATATACCACCAAAGTTTCTGTTCTAATAGCTACTTGAGCTTTAACGGAGCAGAGCGTATGTGCCAGCTGAGGCCACTGCTTCCCTTTTCAGCTCCCCAAGGCATACAGTTTTCCGTCCGCGTGTAACTGGACTTTCCGCCGCGCCGCTCCTCCGGCAGTGATCTGTTCTCGGACGGGGCGGGCGCCCTGCCTTCTCCCCTGTCCGCTGGGGAAAATGAAGCTATTCGTGCGCCAACGCAGACCCCCGCGAGCCAATCCCGCTTTATTACACCTGCGGTCGCCATGGAAACGAAGAGGGGAGACTGACGGAGACCGGCTGAATCAGGGGAACAACACGGTGGCCAGTCCAGGTGTCAAAACTCTCCGGCTGCTGCGGTTCAGCTGGATGAGAAGAGTGGACGGATACACCGCGCTGCCATTCGAGAGAAATGGCTGAACGTATATTTTGACGAAGTAGAAAGTCAAGAAAATCCACATTTTACGCACGTATCCATAAAATATTAAAGATTAAATAAAGCTCATAACAAATCATTTTCTATCTACCGATGTTTCCAATTCCCCTCTGATTATGCAGTGAATGTGCTTGACTATTGAGAGCAGTTGGGGAAAACGACCTGGGCTCCGACGGCTTCAACATATCAGCAAAAACGGCCCTTATGTGCTCCCAACAAAGTGCCATGATAAACAAAAAAAAAAATGACCGTGCTGTGCCCTGTGGGCATTATGAGTGGAAAGCCTTAACCCAGAAAGTTCAGATTAGCCTTTAACTGAAACGACTCTGACATGGCTCTCATGGTTCGCGCTGACCCGAAATAATTCGTCACTTCTCAGAAACCATTTCATTTGACAGATCAAACAGCTCCCAAAAGCAGGGATGCGGAGCCGTGGAAATTTCAGACGGCTCCGGCTCCGGCTCCGGCTCCGGAGAAAAAAATCGGCTCCGGCTCCGGCTCTGTCTCCGGGTGAAATGTTATGGCGGCTCCGGCTCCGGCTCCGGCTCCGAGTAAAATGGTCCGGCTCCGGCGGCTCCGGCTCCGGCGGCTCCGGCTCCGACTCAGTACATCCCCTACGCAATCAATTAAATACGGGTGGAAGAAAAATTGGATTGGCTATACGCGTTACTCTTTGCCATGACCGGCTCACCGCGTCCCTGCGCAAACGCACCTCGGAGAGAACTGGCAGAACAAAGGGCTAGGAAGCGATGGCATTGGAAACGCAGTCGCCGCGAATCGGAGTTCAGTGAACCATCGTAAGCTGACACCCGTCTCGGCTGCATTGGGGGGTGAGGGGGGATGAGACGGTGCTGGGAGTCGCAGTCCACTGCACTGGTTTGAAAACAATAGCCGTCACCTGATGACTGGTCCTCATGTTCTGGGGATGCAGTAGACGTGGGGGGGGGGGAAGAGCAAACAGGAAGTTGTTTGCGTACTGTGGGATACTGGGGATATTCGGATTTTTTCATTCACTTGATGGCCCATGACGTAAGTACCATATGTTTTACTGCCTTGTACTGTCAAACCGAACTAGGTCAATTATTTTTTTTCCTCTTCAAAAAATAAAAAGGAGCCGGAGTCGCCCCCTTTTTTTGGCGGCTCCGGCTCCGGCTCCGGCTCCGGGCTATATTGTTTCACGGCTCCGGCTCCGGCTCCGGCTCCGGGCAAAATATGCCGGCTCCGGCGGCTCCGGCTCCGACTCCGGCTCCGGCTCCGCATCCCTGCCCAAAAGTGTCGTAAGCGTGGTGCCCCAGGTGATTGGCCGGCATCTGAGTCCTAATAACAGTTGTAGGACGAATGACCCGGGCTCTCAGGACGGGCACGAACGGGAGGCCACACGTGACAGGGCCATTTTCGCCAGCGCCCAGCCTGGTATGTGACAGGGTAACACGCACCTCGGCATTGTGTCCGAGCTAGCGTGTGAACGAAGGTGCCAGGCGCCAGGTGGGTGGTTCGCTGTTGAAGTTTGGTGGAGAATGGAGGGTTTGTTACGGCCGCAGCGTAATGAAGCGGACACGGACGCGAGCGAGCTCAAATACGGTTTTATACAAAGCTGCAGTAATGATGTTAGAGTAACGATAGAAGTATACGCACCGGAAACGCGCCCAAACCGTTTTGAAGCTAACGATTTACGCAATCGCTTGAAATAAATATACATTTTATCATTTTTGTTACACATTGCCAAATGCCAACTGTCGCAAAATAATGTTATTAATTATGCTGCCAAACCTGCATCTCCACTGCACTGCACAAGCACACACCATCGCGCACTTTTGTCGATTGTTCTTCTATTGCCACAGTCGTCCCTTGTTTGGCATCACCGTCCAGAAGTCGCCACGGTAGGCCATTGCCCATTCCGTTCCCTGTCCGCCCATTGACCGGTCATTGTCCCCAGTCCCCTGCCGGCCAGTCTGTTGTCGCTGTGCCGTGCGTCGGTCGGTCACTCAATCCTTTGTGACTGGTTCAATTAGTGCTGTACCGAGGGCGGCGGCGACAGATTAGTACCTACCTACCCCCGGGGGCAGCCGGCACCGCCCGGCCGGCCCCGACGCGTCGCCAGCTGGTGGCTGTCGGAGGCGGATGGATGCGACGAGAGGGGATGCATGGTAGTATGTACCCACCCTGTCCTGATCGATAGAAATCGGACCCGGTGGCCTCTTGTATCCGATGGCTATTGTGGGCTGGGGCTACCGCTGCATGGTCGAGGCGGAAGCTGCCTCCCTATCCGCATCGCACACGCTTCCGTGTTACATGCGTCAGAAAATCATCTCTGATGAACTATGTTATGTGAGCTGTCATTTCCTGATGACGCCTTAGGGCTTCTGGGCTTATGCCGTTGAATCATAGTTGATGGTCCCCAGGAGTCGACGACGGTCCCCATAGGTGCTGTTAGCTTTTATGCTCCGCATGGCTTCCCATATATCCTGGTAATGCGCGTCCCATGTCGCCCATGATAATTACCTTTGCTCCCACCCATAGAATCCCACTATATCCGTCCGGCGAGCCGTGCCGCTCTTGACGAGGAGAGCCGGAGCCGTGTAATTAATTTTGCCGTGTGACCGAGCGCACGCGGCGCCTGCTGCACCTCCCTTCACCCGACCGCGTGCGGCACCCACAGTGGCAGGCACGCCTGATTGGCTGACACTTGCGTGCGCTAGCCGTTCGTGCAGAGTTCGAACACCCCACGGTCGAGCGGCCGTGGCATCTGGCTGGACACTCAGGATCTGACAGTTTGTCTGACAGTTTTCATCGCCCCTGACAGCTGCTGACAGGCTTGCTCAGATTTAGCCAGTTTTCGAGTGGCGCTGGGGGTGAAGGCCCCACGGATTGCGTGGGATGTTACGTGTGATATGACAGCTCGGTCTGAAGGAGTGATGGACATTGAACCGAAATAACAAAAGCTGATTTTCGGTAATTCCTTTCAACGAAATGTACTCCTAATACAAGGGAGATGTAGATAGACCCAGGTGCTGGAAATTGAAGACGGACAGCGATGAAATTACAACAACAAACTTGTACCGGCACTGCCCCCGCATTGTTATAGTTTTTATTAATGCCTCCGTCATCCGTGGTCCTCTCTGTTACCTGTCAATAGCCGTGTGTCATGTAACTGTATATTATTAAATGTTTATAATGAACTGATCTACATTATGTGCTTTACATATTTTGATGAGCTGTGTTATCGATCAATGATGCATATTCAATAATGTTAAAGTTTTTTTTGTTGCTTTAGATGTTTATGCTGAGAATGATGACTATTTGTCCCGATTGCCGATGTCCATTTGTCGGTATATCTTGCCTACAAACCGGAACAAATAACCCAGCGAAATCGCCCAAATCGGCTGATCATCGTCAGGTCATAATGGGCTATTTGTTTCGTCACACGATGCGTGTTTTTGCGAGCGGGTGTCGTCCGGTTGGGCGCCGTGAGTTGTCACGGTCTCGTGAACACCCCACGCTAATGCATGTCACGGTACGTTTCACACAGACAGCCGCGGGATAGACAGGCAGGCGGACACAGAGCTGGACGGACAGATGGGCAGAGGCAGACAACGGCGGCCATGAAAACCGCGATTGTGATCTGATTCACAAAAGCCCGTCATTAAAAGGTGGTTCTGAGAACAAGTGTCAAGATGATTAGGCAGCGAAAGCATTCAAATGTCAGCTCTGGCCTGTCAGGTTCTTTTTTAAGCAAGGCGGTAGGTATGCTCCAATACCATGACGGTTTTGGGACGCTTTGCATGCGAATGGTATTTTACTTACGTATTGGCATCAGCGTGGACAGGCAGACGGTCTTCACGGTGTGCACGGATCCGTTCCAGCCGAATGTGACGTACGAGAAGCAGTACTCCTGGAAGCGCTCGGAGAACATGTCGCAGCGGAAGGACATGGCGCTCGTGTAGTCTGCCACTCTCAGCTCGCCGACGTAGTGTCGTGTGGTGGGCGGCACGGCCGATTCCACTGCGGCCCGCTCCACTCCCGCGACACGCACCATGCCCGAGACAGCTCCACACTTCGGACGTCTGTAGTACACCTCGACACCCGACAGACACGGAAACACACTGGCACCGGTCTCACCTCGAGCGTACAGCTTGAAAGTCCGGTTCCACTCGACTCGTGTCACGTTACTCCAAGCGATTAGCGAGCTGTCTGAAGAGTTGGTCACCAGCTGAAGCTGGAAGAACCCCTGTCTATCCAGACGATCGCACGGTATTCGAATGTCGTGTATCCTTGCGTAGAAGTGCTGCAGAGGAAAACGGTCCGTAACACTGCCTAGAAGAGGTTCGGAGACGGCGACACTTCCCTCTTCCCACCCCCTCCTGGACACCACCAGCTGCGCCGTGACGGACAACTGGCTCTTCGACCTCGCCGCGCACAGTCCCTTGAACTTTCTCACATGGGCCACCACGGAAGTGTGCGTCTCGGCACGCGAAGGTAGGGTGACGAGTATCGGCGGCCAGCGAACAAGCAGTGGCGCACTGAAGGCGAGGAGGCGTCCACTGGTCAGTAGTAGCGCCGAGTATCGTCCACCCAGCTCCACGTAGTCACAGAGGAACGTAGCGGACAGCGGTGGCACCGGTTTGGATGACGGCTTCGGCGGCGGCACTGGCTGTGTGCTGACAATCTCTCCTGAGGCGATGTGTTGTAGAGAGACACTGAGGCTGGCCAGCTGCTCTTCCAGAGGCGTGGTACTGGCACTGGAACATAAGAGAACATTTTAAGATTAGTAGGTGATCTTGTTCCCAATCCAAAGACGTTGTAAGAAAATATTTCGTGCAATTTGCCTAAGGAGGCGATTTACTTTGATTGAAGTTCAGACCACTTAGGATGTGTGGAAGGATGACGGTCAATCCATAAGGATTTGAGTCTAACGTACTGCGTCTTTGCATTGATGTTCTCACGGATATCAGCCGATTCATGAATATTTAAGAAAGCCCTAATAAATTGACCTCTGCTCATAAATGCACCCAGTGGTCTGCGCCACGTCTGCCCAACAATCAAGCCCGTCGATTTAGAGCGTGTCGCGGCAGTGTTGGAGCGGTCGGCACTAACGGCTGCAGAATGGGTCCACAGCTACCGGCCGTTGGCCGTCAGTGGTGCAGTTCTCAGATATATACGACCCTGCTGGGTACCCACGAGTCGCACGTCGCACGCGACCCAAGACCTCAGAAAGGATCGATTGGAGACGGTCGCCGAGAACGTTGCACAGACAGCGGGGTTATGGCACACCCGCGCCCCGTAGGGGGGCCGAAACGGCCCCCCCTGTCCTTTTCGGTCGATATCTCCTAAACGGCTGGAGATATCGCCACCAAACTTTCAGGACCCCTCCGGGCATCAATTTTACACATTGTGACCAAAAATTTTACCAGAGGCTATGATAGGTTGGCCACAAATGACGTCAGAGTGACGTCATGTTCTGTCATTTTCGACCGAAAAAAGACCTTCGCGAGAAGACTTGTCAGGACTACAGCTTTGAAGATACAGAAAAATGATCGAGACATAAAAGGTGTAGAATTGACAGGGCTACAAAACTGCTATCTCGAATTTTTGAAATTTTTGAGTTTTGACCCCCAAAAATCAAAAAAACTTGTTTTTGGATATATTCGCCAAAAAATCCAAAAAGTTTTTTGAGTTTCGAAAAAAACCGGAATATATGTGATAGTGCCTACCGTCTTCTATCTACATACCAAATTTCAGATCGATACCTTGTTTTTTGGCCAAGTTATAGCGAAAAAACTGTTCAAAAATGATGACGTTAAATTTTCAAACTCAATTTTTGGCAATTCTAGAACTCGTAGAGCAAAACGAAGACCACCACTAGACTCCCCGTGACGAGCTGCATCGAATCGATACCCATTTTATGCAAAAATATCAACTTTGAAATTTGACCTAATTTGACCTGACCTTGACCTGACCTTCACCAAAACGTGACCTAGGCTGGCCCCAAAGGCTGCCTAACCCACATAATCGCATTTGTCATGTAAAATGGACCATAAAACATGTATCACACGACACATTCATATTGTGACCCCCGGTGACCTGACCTCGCTGTGACCTGACCTGGTATCAGTGACCTCAGATAGCAAAGTATGTGTTTGACGAACAATGTACCATCGATGGTTTTCAATAAATTACCAATTTACTCGCTTTCACAGCACATTTCTTGAATTGCCTGTGAACGGTGAAAATCTGACCTTTGACCTGACCTGTGACGTCATCGGTTTGACCTAGGTCAATGAAATTTGGTCACAAGGTAGTTCCCGGGTGGGGCTATCGAACTCCGTTTGAATTTTGAAAATCAACCGGTAAATTTCCGAGATCTTAGGGGGGGGCCGAAACGCCCCCCCCCCCCCCCTACGGGTGGTAGGGTCCGCCGGTAGCCCTACGGGGCGCGGGTTAAGGTTCGATCAATGTGACCAATATTATCTAGACTGCACAGTGCACATTGCATAACATGGGCGCTGCGATTTTTGTGTTCTAGGTCTAGATGTGAACCTTCTAAATCCATCTATTTTAGACATTAAATCTTTGTGCGTTTTATTACATTCTTAACCCGCGCCCCAGTGGCGGTCTCAGCCAACTTCGCCCTAGAGGGGGGGGCATATGTTACCACACACTTCTAACTCAAAAACTAAGAGGGCTAGAAAGACGCGGTAAAAAGCAGTCGATAGCTCTCAATGCGTACGTTTGAAAGTATTTAAGTCATTTTTCACCTTAGAGCAATATTGGGGTCACCAGAGGTCATCAAAGGTCAAAATTTGCCAATTGTCATTATATTTTTCAGAAAACATGCCGCTATCTTAGGAACTATGGTAGCTAGAAAAACGCATGGAAAAGCAATTGATAGCTTTTGAACTCTTCTTTTGAAAAGGTCATTATCAATATTGACCTCAGGTCAACAGTTTAGCCTCCAGAGGGCAAAAACTCCAAAAATAGCTGTTTTTACGAAAAGTGTTTTTCGACAATTACTTTCGACTACAAAAGGCCACGACATTTCTATTGCCAGAATCGTGTTCCCCTCGCCGAGACGCGTCGAATGAACTATAATTTGACCTTGAAAGGTCAACTTGAAAATTTGACCTCAGGTCAAGGTCATGACCTGACCGGAAAAGGTCATGTTGCATATCAGTCGATGCGTCTCAATAAGACAAACACAATGAGACCATCCCCAGCGTTCTATCTCTTTCCAATCGCGAGTTATTGGCAAAAAAACTTTATAGCCTCAAATGACCTCGGATGACCTTTCTAGAGGCTATCAGCAAAAATGACACCTTGGTCATCACGAGTGGACTAAATCATTGTGATTCTGAAATATTTGGACTGTTCCTATGCGTACACACGGATCTAGAGGCATTTTCATTTTTCTCCATTGACTTGTAATGGAAAGGTCACGCCACTGACCTGACCTTAGGTCACGGATATAAAAAATCCGAGATATACAAATTGTAGGCGCCCATAACAGCATGCAATCCACCAAGTTTAAAACCTTTCTGACAAGCACTGCAGGCTGGACATGATTGCAAACTTTTTTAGGCTTGGTCAGTTAACTTGACCTGGTGACCTGACCTGACATGACCTGGGGTAAAAAATTTCACACATTGTCCAAATTTGATGTACCAAAAGCTACCTCAAGCGGCGCGGCGCTACGCGCTGCAGTTTTTTATTCACACGCAAAAAAACGCGACAAGGTGGTAACATATGCCCCCCCACTGGGGCGAAGAATAAAAACGTTGCTCGATTTTGTGACCATTTTCTCACCTGATTTCCGAGGTCCTCAGTGTCCATTTGATCAGCACAGTGATGTTGCTTTGCAGGGCGGTGGCGGTGCTTCGCTCAAACTCCACACTAAACACTGCCACGGTTCCCGTCTCCTGAACCGTCTCCTCCACGTCTCCTGACGATTCCAGGCCGTCTCCTGACGCCTCTTGGCTGTCATCTAAGATTCCTGACTCGGCTTCTGTCGTCCCCAGGGCATTTTTCCTTTGTTTCAGGTCGTATTTTGGAACATTGACCGAGCGTCGAATGGCAGCATCGCCTGTAAACACAGCACAAAAATAGATCGGGGCTTATTTTAACCCTCGCCCTGGCAGGGCATTTTTCATAACACGGCCTGGCAGGGGGGGGGTCGATGCGACCCCCCCCTTGCAATTGGCTACTATGGCACCTAGAAACACCAAATTTGGTAGGTAGGTGGGCCCCCTGGAGTTCTCGCCCCTGTGCAAATTTGTTTGCTCTAGGTCAATATTTAGGGGGTTTTGGGGGGTATAAATGTAAAAATTTCGCTAAAAAACGGTCAAAAGTTTTTCGCTTATAACTTTTGATCTAATTAAGATAGAGCAAAAAGAAAAGCACCAGTGAACTCAGCACGTCAAGGCGCGTCGAATGATATACTTTTTAACTTGCTTAAGTGTACTTAAAGTTTTTCTTAAATTTTAAGTAAACTTGAATTAATAAATTAAGTTCAAGTTAACCAAATTGCATCATATCGCATATCATTCGATTCGGCTGATCACCAGGAACACAATGATACCATTTTTTAAGCTCTAGCGTCATTATGTGCCAAGTTATTGACAATAACGTCATTTGACCTCAGTTGACCTCATTTGACCTGACCCATGGATAAGTACACCAAACAAAGAAGCACCAAGTGACCTGCTGTTAAGTACCGTGGTTTCAAAGCACAAAAGTGATAAAACGAAGCGGATATCTCCAGTATTTTCCGAATTTAGTATTTTCCCATAGGCTTAACATTACGACGTAATGACCTCTAACTGACCTCAGGTCAGTGACCTCAAAAAAGCCGGACTCTATGTTATACAACTCGGTGAACTTAGCACATCCTGAAAGTTTGAAGGAAATCAGTCAAAAACTGTGAGTTGGACAGGTGCAAAAAGAAAATTGAAATTTGACCATGACCTTGTACCGGTTTTTCTGACCTGGTGACCTGACCCAAGGTCACTCGGACCTGAAATTTTCAGGTCATATGTAAAAAGGTTGCCCCATAGGCTGTGACAAATTTGGCGGCGCTGCGCGCCGCCGTTTTTACGCTATCTTCGAAAAACCTTAGGGGGGGGTCGCATCGACCCCCCCCCCTGCCAGGGCGAGGGTTAAGGCAAGTCACAAAGCTATGCGTACCTACTCCTGAAAACAGATTTATGAACCATTGAGATACTATGTATTCGCACCAGCATTTGTATTAAAATATTCGTACCATTATCTACGAAAACTTTGATTTGCTACTTTTTATTGGGTATTCAGGGGCACCCTCACTGAACAGTGGTAAAGCCAATGACTTACTGAGCTGTGGACTGACTGTATGGAGGCTACATCCTCAATGCTCAGGGTGCAATTGAGCGTCCACTGTGGACGGTGCGGCTACAGTTTCCACGAGCACTTCCACACTGTGAAGTGGGCTAGCGGCTATATGACTTATCGAACCGTCCAGAAGCCTCCACTGCAAGTGCAACACTTTACTAATTACTCCTGTCAGCGTCGGCTGGCTTTATGAACGCAAGCGACCGTATACTTGTAATATAAAGGTCCGTGCTATACCAATGTGTGGAAAGTGTCTATATCTGTGTTGGTAAGCGTTCATACTCCATACCTGTGCGAGTGGTGTACAGAATAGCCATGGACAGTATCAGGAGGCTCCTGAGGTCCATTGAGCACCCTCGACGTGCCGCAACTCCTCATCCAGGCATCCGACCTGCAACGGAACACAGCCGATTGACACAGTCATCATCAAACCATACCGGGCTGCCAGTGACAATAATACGATGTCCGACACAAATATTGACATACACGGTTGTCGACAAAGCGGGCGCGACGGACCGGAACTTGCGGCTCTCCCACGAGACGTAGCCGGCAATAGCGACGACGGGCGCGACACGACGGCTTCCCCCACTGACAATGGGACGCCAATATTGACGGACGACGGCGGCCTTGTGCGACACGAAATCGTCGGGCCGCCGGCGGTCGAGGGGTGCCGTGTAGCGGCGGCGTTGAGTCGGTGTGGGCTGATCGATTCCAAGTCACCAGGTGGTAGGGTCTGAGGTGCAGGGACTGGTCGACCCTCGTGACACCCGGGGACATCGTACGGGGCACACAAAGGGTTCGCTCGTGCCCTTAGTTCGATGGGGAGGGGGGGGGGGTCGTTATAAAAACGCGACAGGTTGTGGTGGGTGGAGTGTGAAGAGTCTTTGTGTTGGAGTTTCAAGTTGTTCGCGCTTCGTAAATTAATTTCTGCTGATGTCGCTAGCTGCGGGAACCGGGAGGTGGTGAGTGGTCTGTCCGTGATGCATAATTCAAACACGACATCCGGTCTGCCGGAGATCGATGTATATAGCCAGGATTCCAAGAAATCAACCATAGATATTATCGAACGTCTGCTTTAGCAGTGACGGACGACGGACATACTCAAAGGTTGTTCGTTGAATGAAGCGATACTAGCAAAGTATTAAAAAAGTGTCCGTAAAAGAGAAGGAACAATACGATGCGTGTTCGGAACCCGTTTTGCTCTATACCATAAGTTACGCTCTATCGAGCTAATCGTTAGCTCGAACCTGCTGCGCAGGCTTCATTCAGACGCCTACCAATGTAATGCGGCACAACCTGCATCCAGGCGTTTATCAATGCATTGCGGCACAGCCTGCATACAGGCGTTTAGCGAAGCCGTGCGGCACAGCCTACATTCAGGCGCTTGCCACTAGTGCCATCTACGGGCAGGAATGTAAGCTGATGCGCTGCTATGTCATTGTGTGCGTTACCGCCAGGACCTTGAAACAAAAGGTGTTTGTGTGTGAGGGATATGGAATATGGCACATAGGAATACCACCCACATTATTTTGTCACACATTTTGAAAATGCAAACATAAGAAATGAAGACATGATTCCACCGCCGACAAACGGCAAGCAGTCATTCCCTGCTACGGACGGGCCATAGGAAATCAGTTAGTCCTAATTGATGAAATATATTTTTCGTGCACATATTTGCAGGAAGATTATGAAATGTTAACTTTTCAAATTTTACTTAATGCATGCCTATCGGCTATCAATCAGGACTATGAACACATTTGCCATAGGTTTTTCAGTTGTCGGCGTACATGTTATGCGTTCATTGAGCTTCCTACCCATGGGTGTAGGAGCGCCAAAAATATTGGTGAAGGATGTCACCTGAACCCTCGGAGAAGTCATCTGAACCTTCGGAGAAGGTGCAGGACCTTAGCGCAGTGGAGGGGGGGGGGGGAATTTCGTCAACTCCTCCTGTTTTTTTTTTCTCGCTTTGGATACCTACCAAAGGTAGGGGAAGCCGGGGGAAGCCCGGCATAGTAAGCTCTTTTTCATTTTTATTACATACCAAACGTGCTGTATAAAATGTTGATATCCTGCTAGCTAGCTAAGTTCATTGGCCGTGTTTTCCCAAAAATTCAGTTTCGTGGAATAAGTATAAGGTTGAGAAAATCGAGTTTTAAAAAAGTGTTGATTTTTCTGGGGTAAGCCCGGCATAGGGGTAACGCTGGCCACCTCCCCAGCGCTTTACAACGAGTTGATGAAACCATTATGTGTTTTTTAGATATTAACGGAAAGTGAAATATTAAGGTACTGATTAGCTCTGGACATCTTAGAGTTTATGTCACTACTGGTATTTTAGCTAGCGTCTACTACATATACAGTACAGGTCGATGAAAATCGCGATGCAAAATTGACAAAAAATGTGTATTTCAAAATTCCTTAAAATTTATTTTTCTTTTTACCTTAATGCATCATATTGCATATCATTCGACTCGGCTGATGAAGAAGAACACAACAATACCATTTTTGAAGCTCTAGCTTCATTGTCTGTCGCGTTATCTGCAAAAACGTAGTTTGACCCTCGTTGACCTTAAGTGACATGACTGGCTTTGTCTATGATAACATGTTTATTTTCGAAATTCATCTTTGATCTAGGTGTAAACCAAACCTGCTCAGTACCTATTAGCTCATGGAAAACAGTGATTTAGTGGCATTGCCCTCGGTTGGGGGTAAGCTTGGCCACTCGCCCGGGGCTACCCCAATGTGCTAATTTTTATTTTAGAACAGCGATATTCGAAAAAAATGTCATACTTAAGCCAGCCTGCCTCGCCACCCCTCACTACAAACACTTAAACGGTCCTTACATAGCATTCGTATAAGTATTAGTACTGTATGGTATAACATTAACAGTGCAAGATATCTCACTTTTTAGCTGAAAACCCTTAAAATATCATTTTTGCGCTATAACTTTAACAATATGCAATTTTTGTCAGCCTTAACTTTTTTGCTGGCGTTACCTTAGCTGCCACGCTGAAAGGACAAACAGTTGAGCATTTTATTGTGAATAATTTAGCCGGAAACGGGGTGGCCGGGCTTCCCCCGCGCCCGGGCTTCCCCGGCTTCCCCTATCCACTATCCAAGCATACCTTTGGAACCTAAAGGTATGCTCCACTGCTCTTTTTTCGTGACCAAAGTCTTACAACTTTCCCACGAGTAAAAACAAGCCAATATATTTTGATATTCACGGCATTTACTGAGATTAACGGAAATTTCTTAGTATGAGCGGCCGGCCGACCGGCCGCGGTCACGGTTCTGCGACGCTTATATCTCAGCAACCACTTGACCGATTTACACGCGGTAATTTTTGTACGGTAGCTTCATTCCTTCTACCAAGTATTGGACTATTCCCGATGCATGTGGGTGACCCCTTATGCACGTGCCACGTGCAAAACGAAGAGGTGTCACTTTTGTAATTGTTGCAATATCTCGGTAACTAGGTTATACTTGGCCGATTGCGCTGAAAGTTGGCATGTAGGTAGGCACCCACGAGGCAATGCATATCCATGTGCCAGAGTTGGGGTGCTGCTGCACGTGCGCACGTGTAGGGGTCGATTCTAGATCTCGACAATGGCTGGACCGATGGCGCTCAAATTTGGCAAACAGTTAGGGACCGGTTAGTAGGGTGCCGTGCACAAGTCAGCTGGAGGTACCCCATCGAAATTTCGCACGTGCAAAGCTCACCCTCTCGCTCGCTCCGTTAGTCGCCCCAAAAGGCGTTATACTGGTTTATTAACCCGGCAGTTGCTGGGGTATTTCGCCACCCACCGTTTGCTGGGGGGGGGGGGGCGTTAAACGCCCCCAGCCGATAACTCGAGAACCAATAGGCGCAGCGAAACGCACGAGGCGGCAAACGAAAGAACGCGACGAGACGCTTCAGATGAGTACTTTTAAGTTGAATTTTGAGGTCACAGGTCGGGTCAAGGTCAGGTCAAACACCTGAAATCGGACTTTCAGTAGCATGGACTTCAGGACTTCGCAATGGGCGCCTCTCGTCATAAACTCTGTCAAAACGGTACACAATCCATCATATAAGGCCTACAAGAGTGTCAGCTCCATGTAGGGGTCAGCCAAGCATAGGTCAGGGTCAAGGTCAGGTCAACCGGCCAGGCACATATCCCCGAAAATCAAAACTGATATTCGCAGCCTGTGACACATGTTTTATGGGTACTTTGGGGCGTAGAACACGATGGTGACATTCATTTTATCATATGTGTACGTGTTTGGCTAAAAAAGTTCAATTTAAGAAATGCATGTATCATGGTCGTGAAGTAGTCGCGAGAAATTGCAAAGATTTAGTTCAAGATTTTGGAAAATGCGGAACGATAATCAATAATCGAAGATAGCCATTTGATTGGTCATGGTATTGGCAGTTCAATGGCGTTTACGGCATGTCTGTATGTCTATTCTGTGATTTTATTTTAAATGATTTTTTGAACATATGCCGTTTTTGGTCGAAAACTCAGAAATCATGACGTCACTAAAACCTCGATACCTCAAAAATTTTCTGAACGATTTTTTGAAACTTTGTCACAATAAACTTCAATTAAATCCCTACAGGTACCCAAAATTTGGCGCGCCTGCGGCGCGCCGTTTTTATGCTATGGCCCGGCGAAAAAAGTGGGGGCGTTTAACGCCCCCCCCCCCAGCAACTCGCGGGTTAAATGGCGTGAATTGTGAAGAAGGTGGGCATAACACTTCATAACTGAAAGGATGGGGTAATTGGGTACCTGTTGCCGTTTTAGCAAGAGCCTTTTTGTTCATCCCATTCGGCATTGCTTTTCTTTTTTAACATTAGATCGACCGTCGAACCCAGTCGTTCTAGCATTGGTGAAGACCCTCACCTGCATTGCTCAAGATTGGTGAAGGATCCTTCACCAATCTAAAACTTTGGTGAAAGGTATCCTTCACCAAAGAGATACGTTGCTACACCTATGTTCCTACCATTTCCTGCCTCAGCAAGCCACAGCGCGCACACTATGCACAGTCATTTGTAACTCCGCAATACTAAATGAGCTCGTACCGTTTTTGTGACAATCGACATACCCCGCGTGTGATACGAAGCACGTACTAATAGCAACACATTACGGTGACCGGCCGTCCAGGGACCCTGCCCGATTAGCATGTCAGATTCGCGTTCTTGTTCTATTAGCTACCGGTCGATATACGGACAGGACACGATGTCGGCAGATTGGCAGGGGAGCAGCGATCGATCTGGGCACATGCCATCAGCTGTTGCGCTGATCGCTGTGACCAGTGGTGACGGTTTCTGAGCATCGCTGATGATGGTTTCTGACCACCGCAGCTGCTGATGAGTTTCCGACTAGCATTGATTGCCGCTAATCGCTGATGATCGGT